CGGGCTGAGCTTTTTAGAATAAAAAGCGCAGGGACGGAGCTTAGGAGGCGTGCCGGAGCGTTGCGACAGTACTGCCCCAATACCGGCCTCTGACACGTCCACCTCTACCTGGAACGCTAAAGTGGGGTCCGGGTGCGCCAGCACCGGAGCCGAAGTGAACAGGTCCTTCAGTTTACTAAACGCCCTGTCCGCTTCAGCCGACCACTGCAAACGCACCGGGCCCCCCTTCAGCAGTGAAGTAATGGGAGCTGCTACCTGTCCAAAACCCCGGATAAACCTCCGGTAGTAATTGGCAAAACCCAAAAACTGCTGCACCTCTTTAACAGTGGTTGGGGTTTGCTAGTTACGCACGGCTGACACACGGTCAATCTCCATCTTCACCCCTGACGCGGACAACCGATGACCCAAGAAGGAGATGGACTCCTGGAAAAACAGAAATTTCTCTGCCTTGACATACAAGTCATGCTCCAACAGCCTACCCAAAACTCGGCGCACAAGGGCTACATGCTAGGCTCGTGTAGAAGAGTACACTAGGATGTCGTCAATGTACACTACCACACCCTGCCCATGCAGATCCCGGAAGATCTCATCCACAAATGATTGGAAGACTGAAGGAGCATTCATTAACCCGTATGGCATGACAAGATACTCATAATGACCTGAGGTGGTACTAAATGCCGTCTTCCATTCATCTCCCTCCCTAATGCGCACCAAGTTATAGGCGCTCCTGAGATCCAGTTTTGTGAAGAAACGCGCTCCGTGCAATGATTCAGTCATACTCGCAATCAGAGGAAGAGGGTAACTGTATTTAACAGTGATCTGATTGAGACTACGGTAATCAATACACGGGCGCAACCCTCCATCCTTCTTCTTCACAAAAAAGAAACTTGAGGACGCAGGGGAAGTGGAGGACCGTATGTATCCTTGTCTCAGGGACTCAGCTATGTATGTCTCCATAGCCGCCGTCTCCTCTTGAGACAGAGGATATACACATGGCTCCGCGGGAGTGCCGGACCTGTCTGGAGGTTTATCGCACAATCTCCCTATCTATGAGGTGGCAATCGCGTCGCCCTCGTCTTGCTGAACATAAGTGTCAAATCCTCATACTCAGGGGGAATGTGCATTGCGGGCACTTGGTTCGGACTCTCCACCGTGGTCGCCCCAACGGAAACACCTAAACATCGCCCAACACACTGGTCAGACCATTCCTTGAGAGCCCTCTGTTGCCACGAAATGGTGGGGTCATGGGTGATTAACCAAGGAAGCCCCAGCACCACGGGATACGCAGGAGAGTCAATCAGGTACAACTGAATGATCTCCTCATGACCCCCCTGCGTCTTCATCTTTAGTGGCGCTGTGACCTCCCTAATCAACCCAGATCCCAACGGGCGGTTATCTAGGGCATGGACAGGGAAGGGTGCATCAACGGGCAGGAGGGGAATCCCTAACTTAGTACAACATTTCCGATCAATAAAATTCCCAGCTACACCTGAATCGACTAGCGCCTTATGCTGGGAATGAGATGCAACCTGAGGAAATACCACAGGTATACACAAGTGAACAACAGAGAGCTCTGGGTGAGTGGGGCGCCTACTCACCTGAAATGACTCCCCAGTGCGCGACCTGTTGCCCCGATTCCCTGGAGACCCTCCCCAGCACCTAGCCGCAGTGTGTCCTCCACGGCCACAGTTGGTGCAGGGGACGGCCCCCCTCGGGTTCTCTCTCCTTCTCTCTCTAGCGCCAGCACCCCCGAGCTCCATAGGGCTCGGCTCGGAGGTGCTGGGGGATGGAATGGACGGCCCCAACTCGGGACGTCCGCGGGTGTCCAGCAGGGTATCCAGACGGATGGACATGTCCACCAGCTGGGCGAAGGACAGATTGGTGTCCCTGCAGGCCAGCTCTCGACGAACGTCCTCACGCAGGCTACACCGATAGTGGTCGATGAGGGCCCTCTCATTCCACCCCGCATCCGCCGCTAGAGTCCGGAAATCCAGGGCGAACTCCTGTGCGCTCCTCTTCCCCTGTCGGAGGTGGAACAGACGCTCCTCCGCCGCTTTACCCTCAGGAGGGTGATCGAATACAGCCCTGAAGCGGCGGGAGAACTCCGCGTAGCCGATGGTGGCGGCGTCTATTCCCCTCCATTCGGCGTTGGCCCACTCCAACGCCTTGCCGGAGAGACAGGAGATGAGGGCGGAAACGCTCTCGTATCCCGAGGGCGCCGGGTGTATGGTGGCCAGGTAGAGTTCCACCTGAAGGAGGAACCCCTGACACCCGGCTGTGGTGCCATCATACGCCCTCGGGAGCAAGAGCCGAATCCCACTGGATTCCGGAGCTGGTCTGGTGGGGCTGGCCGATGGTGGTGGTAATGTAGGAGGAGGTGTGGGCACACCTCCCCTTTCCCATCGGCGCAGGGTGTTCATCACCTCCTGCATGGCGGAGCCGAGTTGCTGGATCCTGGCGTCCTGGCAGCTGAACCGATCCTCCAGCGACTCGGTCGCCGCCGCTGCTCCTGCTGACTCCATAGTATGGTGTGTTGTTCTGTCACAAGCTGATGTGGATGCGGTGTTGGAGTCAGGCGCAGGACACAGAAGCTTAGTCGAAACGACTTTAAATTGTCACAAAGACAATAACAAAAATAACGGGCCTCAAACACAGGAGGCGAGCGATTACGCAAACAGTGCGTAAAAACACTAACTACTAGAGCACAATAAAGATACACCAACGGACAGGCGGACAACAACACACAACTGCAAACAAAACCAAAGGAAACTTATAGGTGACATAATCAATATATAAGACGAAACAGGTGCACCAACAAGACAAAACCAAACAAACAGAGAACATCAAGCGGTAGCAGCTAGTACTCCGGGGACGACGAACGCCGAAGCCTGCCCGAAGAAGGAGGAGGAGCAGTCTCGGAGGAATTCGTGACAATTACAGCTGCTGGGGGATGAAGTTCAAACTCAACCTAAATATGAAAATAAACAGAACATTTCAGTTCAAAACACCAAGTAATGAAAATATGTATTAAAGAGATGAACGGGATCTTAAGCACTTAGACATTCGTAAAATATCATACGAATTAGAATTCATAACATATCATACAAATTAGAATTCATAACATATCATACTAATTAGAATTCATAACATATCATACGAATTAGAATTCATAACATATCATACGAATTAGAATTCATAACATATCATACGAATTAGAATTCATAACATATCATACGAATTAGATGACGTTGTACACATTGCGCACAATTTTCGGGGACCCGTTTTGGCTCGTGAGCGCTACTTTCAAAACTACAGGCTGAAATTATACAGACAGTATAATTAAAGAGCACCAAGACCAGGTAAGAGTGTATCACGTATATTTTTGGTTTGTGACATCTTTAATGCGGCAAGTTAATATGTAGAGAACAACAACTCCCCAGCCTGAGCCAAGGTTTAAGGTTGAAGAGCAGAAGAAAACCCTCTCAGCCATTATACATTCCCATAAGAAGCTCAGCAGTAGAAATACAAAACAGTATTTTACACCAAAAAATACAAACATCCATTTACAGGTAGGTAGTCAAGCAAGACTTGTTTGGGTGATGATGCTTTACAATTATTCGTTCATAATTTTTTCCATTTTAAAAAGTCTTCTTATAGACAATTTACAAGAAACATATGGTAAATATCCTTTTTATAGAAACTATCTGTAAAAAACATTCTATTGTCGTCCTCTGAGTTGACATAGAATTTAAACATATTTACCAAGGCATTTTCTCTGAATTAGGAACATCCACACCTTCCATTCCAATGCCAACGAATTCAGCAAATAAAACTGAAACTACTGATGAACATACATATTAATTAGTTCAATTTCAATGTGCTACCTGAATTTACTAGAATGGAGGTGTACTTGACCCCAACGCTAAATAAACACCCGGACCATGTAAGAGTTGCCTCATTTGAGAATATGTTTTAAGTGTGATATGTACAAAAGCTAATTCAGACTAATCCAAAACATCACTTTGTCTATTATTCTGAGCAATGCTGGTGACAGGACCTCCTCCTGGAAAAAAAAGGGTCCTCCAAGCTACAAATCCACACAGAAACAAAAGGACAAAATCAAACAAGACTTGATATAATACAATTGAGTACAAAAATAGAACATAAACAAGAGACAAATCAAAGACATCCCACTTGGAAGTGTAAACATATCCAATCTGCTACAGGTTATTAGGCTTGGAGAAGTAGGGTCCTCAACATTGCTTTAGGAGCCCTATATAAAACTCTGGTTTGCAGTCCTTAGTTAATCTTAGTGTCCATGAAAATACAGGTCACATACAACTGTGTATTTCTCGCCGTTTAGATTCCTATATCAATGTGTATGGACAGAAGTTGTCTGGCAGCTGTGATATGTTGCCATGGCACATTTCATCATGTTGAAGCACCTCAGTGTGGGATGTTGCATCACAACAAGGATTTAGCTGCAGTTGAAACATACAGTACAAGCAGGCCAAATTCTAGTCCCCATTACATGTGCAAGATGTATAAATCACAGCCAAGGATGCCAACTGCACTGCATGCTAAGAATGTATCTGCATAGCAACAATCCACCACCAATTCTGACCATTTAACTTACAGTAAGTGTAGATCATCATTCTACACCTTCATGTGAAAGACTACAGAGAGCTTGGTTAGCTGGCAGGTGTGATAAGTGTAAATGGCACTTTGCTAAATTGTTGTTGAACTAAAAACATCCCCAGTCATCCAGTGTCAAGAGCAGAACATTGCGCATTTGCACATTTTCACTTCAATAGCTTTTTTTCATTCAGACAGCTTGAAATTACAAGATAGACCAACTGCACCAACACAGAGACACTAGCTGCAGTGACATGTACCATTCCATCATTTCAAGACAAGGGGGGAGGTGGAGGGGTTTGATGGTAGTCAGGTCTAGCTCGAAGGAGTGGCCTGGGTTTGTTCAGTCTTGTAGCAGTGGCTCAGATGTCCATGTAATCATCCTCCTCATCCCCATCGTCTGATTCACTCTCCAGAGATGACTCCTGGCTGGAGGTCTCCTGCACCTCCAGGGCTGGCTGGCTCAGCGTCTCCTTCTTCACTGTGGCCGCCGACTGGGAGGACAGGATCACGTTCTACACAGGGGAACAGGAGCAGAGAACAGGAGGGTTTAGTTTCAGTAACAGACAGGGTGAGAAGATAGAAAGTTGCCAGAGAAATAGATAGAGATAGATAAATAGATATGCTAGAGAGAGAGAGAGAGATAGGATAGAGAGATAGAGACAGGATAGAGAAAGAGAGACAGGATAGAGAGCGAGAGAAATAGATTTACATGTACATTTACGTCATTTAGCAGACGCTCTTATCCAGAGCGACTTACAAATTGGATAGGAGGGCGAGACAGAGAGAGAAAGAGAGGAGAGCGAGAACGAGAGAGCACCTTGAGTCTCTGCTTGGTTTCCTCTGAAATACTTCCTTTGGGGGAGAGCAGGGTGGGAGTAGGTGGGGTGACGGTGATCTCCGGGGGGAACTTGGTGACGGTGGAGGGGATGAAGAGCTTTGGCATGTTGGGGGGGATGCGCGAGCGGATACGACTAGGGTCCGACATCTTGGACTGTTCACTGCTGCCATACAGCTGCTGGTCTGAACAACAGAGGAGGTGGGACAGAGAAACATTATGACAACTTCTCAAATGGATCCTCCCCTTATTAGAATTCTTACTTTCCCTCTTGGTATTTCCTGGTTGTAAATGTTCTTACCTGAGCAGGGTTGTGTGGCACTACAGGAAGCAGGCTCGTCATGGTGCCAGCCTGCAGCCTCCTGCCCTGGGGACACAGTGGCCAGCTTCATTTGTTGGCAAAGATGAGACTCCTGCTGTCTGTAGGACAGTCCCTCTGGGGGCTCCTCACGTTCCTCTGGAGAAACACAACCACATCACATCACCTGGCTGGGTCACAATCCATACAGCATTCAAAACATATACACCAGCACAGTGAAGAAAGACAAGATGGCAGGCTCTCACTCATACTTCTGGGATTGACGGAATAACCCATTTGAGACTGATTGAGTATGCAGTGAACTATACTATAGCAAGAATGTTTGCAATGACCAACATTAACATGAGCTTACTGGAACATAAATGTCATTTTTATACACAGACAAACAAAGCCACTGATTTCAAATATTGTTCCAGGCTGCCATAACAGACCCCACAATGAAAGCTGGAGGAAAATAGGATATATGAGGGAGTAATGCCTCAGCATGCAGCATACAGTAGCGCTGGCAGCACGGACAGCAAATACAATAATCCACTCTCTCTCTACCCGATCTCTTCATTCAGGTTGCCTGGGAAACCATTAGTAGATTTCAGTGCCGAGCTTCCTGATGCTGAGCATTGATCTCCTTAACCTCACACCTCGTGTGTGTGTGCACTCTCATGTGGATGATATCCTCCTTAAATATTCAATGTACTCAACAATCAGGACGGTAAACTAAAAAGAGGCTTGACACAATTGTGTCATACGGAAACAATGTATCATCAGGAGAACAGTGTTCCAAGTTAGACAGATAATTATTTCAAACACTTCCATCTGTAAGTGTCAGATGTGCTATGTACTAGGGAGACATAAGTGACTTACTAAACCAGAAAGTCAACATTCAACCAGGTCATGATGTACAGTAGTTACGCAACACAGCTCTGGGTGGGCAAGTGTGCCCCCTGCTGGCAGGCTATCTAATTGCACAGTGACAGACCAAGAGCGAGAGAGAGCAGCTCTGACATTCATCTGTCCTCCTCCCCTAGAGAAGCAGGTACAAAGCAGGGTATCATCAACTGCAGATAGAGTACAGTGAACAAAACCAGTTTGTAGCTAACTTACTGTGAGTGTTACAAATCAATTCACATTACAATATATTCTCCAAAGAGGATCCACACAATTTTAATGAAATGTTTGATGACCTTATCCTCTTTGTAGTAGCATATTTTAAACATGTTTTTTAACAGACCAGTTTAACAGGCAGTGTTACTGCTGTGTTTTATGAAATGTACTGAGAAAGGAGGAGGGAGGAAACTGACCTGTTTGGGGGTGGAAGGCCATAGTTGAAGCAAGGTGGATGGGCAGGGGGGCTCTCCTGTGCTGGGGCTGACAATGCTCGTGGGAGCCGCTGGCTGGAGGTCTGGGCACCTTGCCCAGGGGCTCGTACTGGAGTTTGGTTTGGCTATCCTGGACAGACAGGGGGTGGCAGGCAGCGTGGCTGAGCAGGACTGGGGTGGGCAGAGAGGCAGGGAAGAAGATGTCGCGGTGCTCCTTGGAGTACTTAGGTGTTGTCGGGGCATCACTGGCAGACTGATGAAGATAAAGATAGAGTGGCAGTAAGGAGGAGGAGCCTGACTTGGAGTGCCCATCTGCAGTCAAATATTATTTCCCCTGTACAGATAGAGCACTGCCAACTGCACATAATAATAATAATAATAATAATAATAATAATAATAATAATATGCCATTTAGCAGACGCTTTTATCCAAAGCGACTTACAGTCATGTGTGCATACATTTTTACGTATGGGTGGTCCCGGGGTTCGAACCCACTACCCTGGCGTTACAAGCGCCATGCTCTACCAATTGAGCTACAGAGGACCACGAGGGAGAATGTGCTGGACATAGAACCACCGTAGAAACAGTACGAGTAATCATAGCCAATGCCATCTCACTGTTCACACCAAAAAATGACCGTCATTACTATTACACTGACTTTATGCTAGAGCAGTGTCCTATGGAGGTCTCAGGGGGTCTGAGGCTTCCTTCTCTGTGTGGAACCTGTAGTGTGTGGTGTCAGACTGGGCAAGCAGGCAGGTCGCTGGAGGGGGATCTGATCTGCCACCACAGGAACACAACTCCAGGTCTACACTCCACCCCTGCCTGCCACTCTCCCATGCGTGTTTTGAGGACTACTCATAAACACAAGAGCTGCACAAACAACCTGTGACAAGAGCTCCCACAGCCGCTGTCATGGCAACCGGAAGAACACAGCCAATGGCAAACAGCATGAATACAGTTTCCGTTCGGTTTTCCCTCTGAAATAGGAAAGCTTTGGACTGAATGCCATCTCTTTTTTAAAAGTAGCTGAATGGTAAGGACACATTGGATAACTGGGAAGGAGGAATTCGATGCAGGGCACTGATAATGATATACATGAGTAGTAAAGCTAATCAAATGAAGGTAAGAAGTCAGAGGGCCAGTGTAATTTCATCTCACTTTAAAGATTCAAATCAAATTAATGCACAAGAGGGAGTATATATGATTTTCTATAATGTTATCATGACTCATGTCCAGGTTAAAGTTGGAATCCATTGCAGTGAAACTGAAATGTCCATTTGCGATATTACAATAACAAAATACATTACTTAAAACAGCAAACACGTTTTATTCCCTCTGACATCATTGCACGCGCGATAGAACAGCAGAGTATGTACTAAGATTTTTTTTATTTTATTACATTGCCGAATGCTCATCTCCTACTTTTAAAAAACAAAACAAAAACAATAACAATTGTGCCTGGGGGCGACCAATGGCACCGTTTCACCTTTCGTGGGTCTCAGCTTTAAGGTAACATGACTACCAGGTTGCCACACAACACAAGGTTAGTCTGGATCAGTCAGCTGATCTACCGATAACATTGCTCACTTGGTATTTTTCTCAGGATCCCACTGCAGGGATTTATAGTCAAATCCTGCTCTGAGTCAGAATTGTTTTTATGAGGCTCCATGAGGTATTCACACAGGCTTCAACAAACAAATCAACCAACCAAACCTCCAACTAACAGACCCACAGCACAGCTCAACACAGACCAACAACAGCAGCTCCCACAGGGTTCCACTGCTAGCTTTGAAGCTTCTTATATCATGAATTATACATAAAGACATAGGAACACAATAAAGACCCTTTGCTCTGAGAAAAAGTACCTGAGAGCACTGCAGCAGACTCTTCCGTGCAGCCTAGTTGTTGTTTCCACCATTCATTGTGTATCATATGTAGACTGCTTACAGCCAGACTGGTTTCAAAGTGGATGGTCCCTTCTGCAATTACTGAGATGGGGTTTGAAAGCAGCTTATTATCTCTGTATATGTCAACTCCTGTTCTGATCATCTTTTAATGAAATGATTGCCTCTCCAAGTTATCGTTATAGCCAAGTTATCGTTCCTCCAAATAAGACTTAGTTCAAGGGCTGTCACTGTTTCTTTTAGACCTGAAGCTCCATATTCTACCTGGACTTAGGCAGGTGGCACTGAAGTCTTTGAGATGTGACCTGACTTCTTGGTAAGGAGGACAGAGTGCCAATGAGACCATGGCCGCCCACAAAATTGTGCAAATAAGTCCCAAGTAAATGGATGGGTGAAACTGCAAGATATTATAATGAATCCTCTCAATACATGACTAGCAGATAGTGCAGATTATCCCACCCACATGAGTAACAACCAGGCCCCTGCAGGGGAGTTGCTTAGCCTTATGCCAACCTCCTCTTACCAGGCGTGAGCTGTCTCAAAGATCACATAGCCCAGCTGCACAATAACAACAACTTCTGTACCTTAACAATGGCAACTCTGCAACTCATTATAATTGAGTGTCTTGATATGAACTCATCCTTTTTCAGGCTCAGTAAAATGTAATCTCTATACACAAGAGAGGGTTCACAGTGTGCTCACTGTAATGTGATGATCAAGCTGTTTGGTGACTGGGCTACGTTGTATGAATCTTCTGTCTCCGTTCACAGGTGTCACTCAGTCATCTAGATTTGTGCACCTGAGAGAGCATACATTTGGCCTGTTTTAGGTTAATGTCCTGCTGAAAGGTGAATTTGTCTCCCAGTGTCTGTTGGAAAGCAGACTGAGCCAGGTTTTCCTCTAGGATTTGCCTGTGCTTAGCTCTATTCCGTTTATTTTTTGTCAATGACAAGCATACCCATAACATGATGCAGCCACCACCATGCTTGAAAATATGAAGAGTGGTACTCAGTGACGCGTTGTGTTTGCCCCAACTATTACGCTTTGTATTCAGGACATAAAGTTAATTTCTTTGCCACATTTTTTGCAGATTTAATTTAGTGCATTATCGCAAACAGGATGCATCTTTTGGAATATTGTTATTCTGTACAGACTTCCTTCTTTTCACTCTGTCATTTAGGTTAATGTGGAGTAACTACAATGTTGTTGACCATCCTCAGTTTTCTCCCATCACAGCCATTCAACTCTTTATTAAAGTCACCATTGGCCTCATGGTAAAATCCCTCTCCGGCAACGGAGTTAGGAAGGACACCTGTATCTTTGTAGTGACTGGGTGTATTGATACACCATCCAAAGTGTAATTAATAACTTCACCATGCTCAAAGGGATATTCAAGGTCTGCTTTTTTTTTTTTTACCCTTCTACCATTCTTTGCGAGGCATTGGAAAACCTCCCTGGTCTTTGTGGTTGAATCTGTGTTTGAAATTCACTGCTCGACTGGGGGACCTTACAGATAATTGTATGTGAGGAGTACAAAAATGAGGTAGTCATTCAAAAATCATGTAAAACACTATTATTGAGTCCATGCAACTTATGTGACTTGTTAAGCAAATTTGTCCTCCTGAACTTATTTAGGCTTGCCATTTACTGACTCAAGACATTTCAGCTTTTCATTTTTTATCAATATGTAAACATTTCTACAAACATAATTCCACTTTGACATTATGAGGTATTGTGTGTAGGCCAGTGACACAAAATCTCAATTTAATTTGTTTTAAATTCAGGCTGTAACACAACACTGTGGAAAAAGTCAAGGGGTGTGAATACTTTCTGAAGGCACTACATTAGCCCTTCCAAATAACAACCACTAGAATAGTGACTAGACCTTGAATACAAACAACAATGTCAATTAAATCTAAAACATGGATTTGTGACAAAAATCCCATGGGAAACCTGTATGTGGTGTGATAAATGGGACACACTGATGACAGCTGACCACATGCACACTGTTATGAAACCATCCTGCTTGGATCCAGCATCAAAGTCTTATCTACATCATGACTTGTGATGCACACATACACTGAGCCTTTATAGGGCCATGACCACAACCCTTATCTGTATAAATTATGCTAAATACCTGTAAATTGTGAGCTATCGTAGCCTACCCATCATTTTCTCCCTCCAGTATGCTGTACTGTGGTTTACATTACCGTGACAACAGGATGAGAGACCCTAGCCGGATACAGAGGCAGGGGGATGGGGGCTCAGTGACTACCCACAGATGAGGCAGAAGAACTGATGATTTTATAAAGAATGTGAGAGATAAACACAAAGCTCAGCTGCAATGATTATAGGTTAGAGTGAGCATCACACAACAAAGCTATTATAATGGGCTTTTTCCAGTTTCACGTTGGATATCACTTGCATTTTAATGGATCTAATATCACTGTGTCTAGCGCCTCTGCATATGGCTGCAGAATAAAAAAAAATATTACAATTTTCCCTATAGAATTCAATGTAACATTTCCTTTCATGTGCAAATAGCAATGCCGCACATACCAATGGAAATACTCAGTTCAAACCAATAAGTTCTGCAACTACTGTGTGAAGACCGAGGACAAAAAGGAACATTCTCAGTGCACCTGGGGTTATTTTAAGCACTGGCAGGATGGTGCAGAGAAGAAAGCCCTGGGATTTACCCAGCTTGAACACTGCTCATCTTACTACAGACAAAGACCGCATGTTAATAGCTCACACTGTCTCACGTACTCTATGGAAGAGAGAAGAATGTCACTCCGTTAGGAAACTCAACACTCTGATCTAGTTGACTCCTTCTGCAGCCAGTCACTGCTGTGTTGCCCACCCATGGAGCTCTGCAGGCTTCATAAGCTAACAACACAGCACCCAAATAAGGGCAAACAGAACTAGCACAAATCCCCAGCAGACATTTCAGCTAGTTATTTCCCTCAGTTAGGCTACAGTGCTAAACAAGGCTACAGTGAATGGGTCCCAACAGTTGTTGCCTTATTCTGTCATTAAATAACCTTTATTATAACTACTGAAACCCTCAATCTAAAAGGACTGTCTTTCCTATACAGTCAGAGACACTAGCAGTCAGACATGCAGAGTAGAGAGAGTATTTTTTGGCTTTAATTTAAACTCAATTGACACATACGGAAAGTATTCAGATGCCTCGACTTTTTCCACATTTTGTTACGTTACAGCCTTATTCTAAAATTGATTAAACACATTTTCCTTATCAATCTACACACCATACCCCATAATGACAAAGGGAAAACAGTTTTTTTTTTTAAATTTTTGCAAATGTATTAAAAATAAAAAACAGAAATACCTTATTTACACAAGTATTCAGACTCTTTGCTATGAGACTCGAAATTGAGCTCTGGTGCATCTTGTTTCCTATTGATTATCCTTGAAATGTTTCTACAACTGATTGGAGTCCACCTGTGGTAAATTCAACTGATTTTACAAGATCCCACAGTTGACAGTGCATGTCAGAGCAAAAACCAATTTGGCACTGATGCTCCAGATACTCAACTAGTCTCAAGAAGGCCAGTTTTATTGCTTATTTAATCAGCACAACAGTTTTCAGCTGTGCTAACATAATTGATCAATTAGCCTTTTAAAATGATAAACTTGGATTAGCAAACACAACGTGCCATTGGAACACAGGACTGATGGTTGTTGATAATGGGCCTCTGTACGCCTATGTAGATATTCCATTCTAAATCAGCCGTTTCCAGCTACAATAGCCATTTACAACATTAACAATGTCTACACTGTATTTCTGATCAATTTGATGTTATTTTAATGAAGGACATTTCTAAGTGACTCAACTTTTGAACGGTAGTGTATGTAAATATGATATTTCAGTATTTTGTTGATAATAAATTAACAAACATTTCTAAAAACCTGTTTTTGCTTTGTCATTATGGAGTATTGTGTGTAGATTAATGTGGGATTTATTTTATTTTATCAATTTTAGAATAAGGCTGTAACGTAACAAAATGTGGAAAAAGTCAAGGGGTCTAAAAGCTTTCTGAATGTACTGTACACTGTAGTTGCAAACAAGTGCTTTGAATACAATGGAAAGGGGTTAAAATATACGTTACAGCAGCCTTAGGGGAAAATAGTGAAATGGCACTGAATGTGTAGTGCAAACAGAGTAGAGGAACAGACATGCTATAACATCATCTAGAAATAAACAAACATGCATCAAAATGGATAACGTATCCCAGATAGCAAAGAGGAAGTAACAGAACAGAATGTGTCATGATTAACAATCACTGAATCATTGCTTTTCCAGTATTTAGTGAGTAGAGTACTGTATCATTCCCCCAGGGCATCTATCCATGGCTGACAAGTTTCAAGTAGTATGGGGGGAATTATTTAGATCTAGCTTAACATCTTGCGGATGGGAAAGACAACAAGCAATCAACCTGAAGATGTATTTGAATTGTGGGACCACACATCCCTCAACTAGCTTCAATCAAAGCCCAGATGTATTGAAGAGAAGCCCTGGCTTTGGAAGAACTCTCCAGTCAGATGAGCAGATGAAACAAATGAGAATATGATATAACCTGGGGTAGATCTATTTGTGATCAGTGCTTCGATTCAACTCCTGGGATATATGGACATATTGAATGTTTACATTTGTGAGTGTTGTGTTTGTATGGGGTCCATGTAGATTATGTAGAGTATATGCATGAAATATGCACTGTGTGTGTGTGGGCCAGGTCATCCTCCTACCTGTCGTTGTGCTGACGTGGCCATCTGTATCTGGCAGAACTTCACTGCTTGGTCCAGCGCCACATCCTCGTCCACCTGTCCACACCATGAGAGAAGAGAACAGAGACGATCAGAGCAACATATTCTAACACCGTTCATAGAGCCACGTTAGCACCAATGATTCAGCTCCGGATGACTAACACATAGCGAATGGCCTTGTGATTGTGGAAGTGTTTCCACTAAGCGCCTTCTAAACAGCCGGTAACGGACACATTTTCGGCCAACTACCTTTTCCACTTCATAAATTATTTAGGTTTTTTTTTCATTTAAAAGTTTCAATTCGCTAGTCATAAAAGTCTGTCCAGCCTTCTCCCAGCAGGTGCCGATGCCGGCTTGAGCTGCGAGGCAGGCAGCTTGAGCAGCTAGGTGATTTACTCAGACCGACAGACAGGGACACGGTGTGATGTCTGTATGATAACCAGCATTGTGTTGCTGTTTTGAAGAACTGCCTGGTACGGTACATTGACTATTGCAATGCAAATGAGTTCCGTTGCTGTTCGTGAATTACTGCGTTGATACTGACATGCACTATTTCTCTCAAAAGGGAATACGGGAAGCAAGTATGTATAACCTGCTTTTTGAGACCTTCTGTGTGGGTTACAGTGCATTCGGAAAGCATTCAGACCGCTTGACTTTTTCCACTTTGTGACGTTACAGCCTTATTCTAAATTGATTAAATCCCCCCCCCCCCCCATCATCTACACAATACCCCATAATAACAAAGCAAAAACAGGTTTTTAGAAATGTTAGCAAATTGATTAAAAACAAAATACTGAAATATCACCTTTACATAAGTATTCAGACCCATTACTCAGTACTTTGTTGAAGCACCTTTGGCAGCGATTACAGCCTCAAGTCATCTTGGGTATGACGCTACAAGCTTGGCACACCTGTATTTGGAGGTTTCTCCCATTCTTCTCTGCAGATCCTCTCAAGCTCTGTCAGTTTGGATGGGGAGCGTTGCGGCACAGATATTTTCAGGTCTCTCCAGAGATGTTCAATCGGGTTCAAGTCCGGGCTCTGGCTGGCCACTCAAGGACATTCAGAGACTTGTGCCGAAGTCATTCCTGCGTTTTCTTGGCTGTGTGCTTAGGGTCGTTGTCCTGTTGGAAGGTGAACCTTCGCCCCAGTCTGAGGTCCTGAGCACTCTGGAGCAGGTTTTCATCAAGGATCTCTCTGTACTTAGCTCCTTTCATCTTTCCCTCGATCCTGACTAGTCTCCCAGTCCCTGCCGCTGAAAAACATCCCCACAGCATGATGCTGCCACCACCATGCTGCACCGTAGGGATGGTGCCACATTTCCTCCAGACGTGATGCTTGGCATTCAGGCCAAAGAGTTCAATCTTGGTTTCATCAGACCAGAGAATCTTGTTTCTCATGGTGTCCTTTAGGTGCCTTTTGGCAAACTCCAAGCGGGCTGTCAGGTCACTCCACAGTAAAGGCCTGATTGGTGGAGTGCTGCAGAGATGGTTGTCCTTCTGGAAGTTTCTCCAATCTCCACAGAGGAACTCTGTAGCTCTGTCAGAGTGACCATCGGGTTCTTGGTCAACTCCATGTTTGCTCATTTTGGACGGGTGGCCAGCTCTAGGAAGAGTCTTGGTGGATCCAAACTTCTTCCATTTAAGAATGATGGAGGCCACTGTGTTCTTGGGGACCTTCAATGCTGCAGACATTTTTTGGTAGCCTTGCCCAGATCTGTGCCTCGACACAATCCTGTCTCAGAGCTCAATGGACAATTCCTTTGACCTGATGGCTTGGTTTTTGCTCTGACATGCACTGTCAACTGCGGGACCTTATATAGACAGTTGTGTGCCTTTCCAAATCATGTCCAAATCAATTGAATTTACCACAGGTGGACTCCAATCAAGTTGTTGAAACATCTCAAGGATGATCAATGGAAACAGGAGCTCAATTTCGAGTCTCATAGCAAAGGGTCTGAATACTTATGTAAATAAGGTATTTCTGTTTTGTATTTTTAATACATTTGCAAAAATGTCTAAAAACCTGTTTTGGCTTTGTCATTATGGGGTATGGTGTGCAGATTGATGAGGAACATTTATTATTTAATCCATTTTAGAATAAGGCTGTAACGTAACAAAAATGTGGGAGAAGTCAAGGGGTCTGAATACTTTCCGAATGCACTGTACATATACATTTTCAATTTGGATCTCCAAACCAAATCCCTAACTCCTCGGATCGGACTCGAGCCAAACCTGGAGGTTATCATGTGAGAAGCTTGATGAGAACAACGATGATGAATAAACATCTGATTTTAGTCCGTTGGTATGACGTTCAACAAAATACGTATTTTATGGTTATATTTTGGTCATAGTAAAGACGTCTCAAAAAAGAGTGCTGTGTTCAAGACAACTACGAAACTCAGAACCTCAAAGTAAAAATGTGTGTACGTTTTTTGCGTAGAGCTTCCTATTGGTTGATTCTGATACTTTCCAAGTAGGAAACTCGGACCTCACCTTTCTACAACGAGTTTGCAAGTCGAACATTTGCGGCTTTCGATGTGCAAGTGACGTTGTCCTACATCATACTTCCAGGTCCTGTCTCCTAATCGTTTGAATGGGCTTGACGTTTGTACCATTACATTCGTGAAAATGCATTCATTTAAGACATATAAATTATATTTGAATTTACTGCCATATGCCTTCTATGAAGTTTTGGCACTGAAGACCATTTCGCTACGTGTTTTCCCGTTGAAAACCTTTCAAAAAACCAACAAATGTTCAAAAACTACAAGTCTACTTCCTGGAAAATGACGTGTCATTTCATTGGGTATTTTGGTCATATGACGTCACAACCAGAATATGACCAGAATAAGACGTCATAATGACGTTGTGTGCCCGCTGGGTAGGCTACAACATGTCGATAACATCGTTTATACACTTTACGAAAATATAAACGCAACATGTAAAGTGTTGGTCCCATGTTTCATGAGCCGAAATAAAAGATCCCAAAAATTGTCCATACGCACAAAAACCTTGCGTTTCTAAAATGTTTTGCAAAAATGTGTGTGCATCCCTGTTAGTGAGCATTTCTCCTTTGCCAAGATAATCCATCCACCTGACAGGTGTGGCATATTAAGAAGCTGATTAAACAGCATGATCATTACACACAGGTGAACCTTGTGCTGGGGACAATAAAAGGCCACACTAAAATGTGTAGTTTTGTCACACAACACAATGCCACAGATGTTTTGAGTGAGCGTGCAATTGTCATGCTAACTGCAGGAATGTCCACCAGAGCTGTTGTTCATTTCTCTACCATAAGTTTAATGATTAGCCTTGAATATTTTGGTCAGTAAAGATTGTCAGATGGCTCCATATGCTTTGCTAATCAATCACCCAGTTAATTAGTGTGCATGCACACCAGGGGAGAACGGCAAGGCTGACTCCAGGCATTGTTTTCCGATAACAGGACACCGCATTATAGCGTATGGGAAAATGGCAATCTTCGTGTAAATATATATATTTTTTATTGGTACCAATAATTGTTTGTATTACACCAGATGTATGTCCTTGAACAGATTATTTTAAAAATCGCACATAGAAGAAGTTAAGGATAATTTAGTTGCTAATGGCAGCCAGAAGTACTCCGGTCGTCCTTCAACTTGAGCTATTCAATGAGAGGGACATGAAGCGCGGAATTCCTAATATAGGTACTTTGACTTGGATTGGATTTGTGCCACAAATGCTAAAAAGTTAGCATTTGAAACAGTGGCCGGGTAAAGAAAACCAAAGCATGGATTGCTGTCATATTGCAGTCCATAGACCGCTTACAGGGTTAGGAACTCAATGTCATTTTTACATTTGTGTGAACTATCCCTTTAATGTTAAAAAAGGTTTAATATTCTCTCACTTAGAAAATAGTCCTGATCATATAGGCCTAGACAATATCCAAAACTAACCATACACTGTATTAATCAATATTCAGTCATTTTAATTGGGAGGTCATGTAATTCTACTCAATACCACAACTCATTTTAACGATCTGGGAAGTTAAATTAAATAATTTAGCTGTGTATTTCGGATGGAATCATGGCATTAGAATGTACCAGAGGCCACCAAAATAGAGCTCGTTCTGCATGCCCCCAGACCCCTTTAGACAGCCCGGAAACACCCTGGCTGGATACTTTTTTCTAAATTTGTCTGGCTACTCCATGTACCTAGGGAAAAAACTACAGTACGTAGCCGTAGTAATAGGAGAAGGTGGCCCTCATTAAGTCTCTCTCTGTGGAGGCTGGCTGCTCTCTGTCTGTCAGTAGATGTGTGCGAGTCAGAAAGCTGATGCTGTGCAGGAGTAGCACATGAAAGGAAGCCTCAATGTTCACATATCCCTCAAACAAGCTACTTTATTATGTGGTGGTGTGGTTTTAAATACATTTTGGTTCTGCATTGACCAAACTACTGAAAGAGCTACTTCCTGTGCTTGGCCCTCCTATGTTGAACATAATAAATTGCTTCCTATCCTCCGGATGTGTACCAAACTCACTGAAAGTGGCAGTAATAAAGCCTCTCTTGAAAAAGTCAAACCTTAACCTGGAAAACTTTAAAAAACGTAAAAATAAAAAATCGGCCTATATCGAATCTCCCATTCCTCTCAATTATTTTTGAAAAAGCTGTTGTGCAGCAACTCACTGCCTTCCTAAAGACAAATAATGTATACGAAATGCTTCAGTCTGGTTTTAGACCCCCCACTGAGACTGCACTTGTGAAGGTGGTACAGTGGGGAAAAAAATTATTTTGTCAGGCACCAATTGTGCAAGTTCTCCCACTTAAAAAGATGAGAGAGGCCTGTAATTTTCATCATAGGTACACGTCAACTATGACAGACAAAATGAGAAAAGAAAATCCAGAAAATCACATTGTAGGATTTTTAATGAATTTATTTGCAAATTATGGTGGTCTTGTATGTCTTCCATTTCCTAATAATTGCTCCCACAGTTGATTTCTTCAAACCAAGCTGCTTACCAATTGCAGATTCAGTCTTCCCAGCCTGGTGCAGGTCTACAATTTTGTTTCTGGTGTCCTTTGACTGCTCTTTGGTCTTGGCCATAGTGGAGTTTGGAGTGTGACTGTTTGAGGTTGTGGACAGGTGTCTTTTATACTGATAACAAGTTCAAACAAGTGCCATTAATACAGGTAACGAGTGGAGGACAGAGGAGCCTCTTAAAGAAGTTGTTACAGGTCTGTGAGAGCCAGAAATCTTGCTTGTTTGTAGGTGACCAAATACTTATTTTCCACCATAATTTGCAAATAAATTCATTAAAAATCCTACACTGTGATTTTCTGGAAGAAAATTCTAAATTTGTCTGTCATAGTTGACGTGTACCTATGATGAAAATTACAGGCCTCTCTCATCTTTTTAAGTGGGAGAACTTGCACAATTGGTGGCTGACTAAATACTTTTTTCCCCCACTGTAAATTACATTTTAATGGCGTCAGACCAAGGCTCTGCATCTGTCCTCGTGTTCCTAGACCTTAGTGCTGCTTTTGACATCATCGATCACCACATTCTGTTGGAGAGATTGGAAACCCTAATTGGTCTACAAGGACAAGTTCTTGCCTGGTTAAGATCTTATCTGTCGGAAAGATATCAGTTAGTCTCTGTGGATGGTTTGACCTCTGACAAATCAATTGTAAGTTTTGGTGTTCCTCAAGGTTACGTTTTAGAACCACTATTGTTTTCACTATATATTCTACCTCTTGGTGATGTCATTCGGAAACACAATAATAATAATAATAATAATAATAATAATAATAATAATAATAAGCCATTTAGCAGACGCTTTTATCCAAAGCAACTTACAGTCATGTGTGCATACATTTTTACGTATGGGTCAACTTTCACTGCCATGCGGACAACACACAGCTGTATATTTCGATAAAACATGGTGAAGCCCTGGAAGCCTGCGTTTCAGACATAAGAAAGTGGATGGCGGCAAATGTTTTACTTTTAAACTCGGACAAAACAGAGATGCTAGTTCTAGGACCCAAGAAATAAAGAGATCTGCTGTTGGATCTGACAATTCATCTTGAAGGTTGTATAGTCGTCTCAAATAAAACTGTGAAGGACCTCTGCGTTACTCTGGACCCTGATCTCTCTTTTGACGAACATATCAAGAATATTTCAAGGACAGCTTTTTTCCCATCTTTGTAACATTGCACAAATCGGAAACTTTTTGTCAAAAATGATGCAGAAAAGCTAATCCATGCTTTTGTCATTTGTAGATTAGACTACTGCAATGCTCTACTCTCCGGCCACCCGGATAAAGCACTAAATAAACTTCAGTTCGTGCTAAACACAGCTCCTATGTGATCATATTACTCCAGTGCTAGCCTCTCTACACTGGCTTCCTGTTAAGGCTAGGGCTGATTTCAGGGTTTTACTCCTAACCTACAAAGCATTACATAGGCTTGCTCTTACCTATGTCTTCGATTTGGTCCTGCCGTACATACCTACACGTGCGCTACGGTCACGCAGGCCTCCTTATTGTCCCTAGAATTTCAAAGGAAACAGCTGGAGGCAGGGCTTTCTCCTATAGAGCAAAATTGTTATGGAATAGTCTGCCTATCCATGTGAGAGACGCAGACTCGGTCTCGACCTTTAAAGTCTTTACTGAAGACTCATCTCTTCAGTAGGTCCTATGATTGAGTGTAGTCTGGCCCAGGGGTGCGAAGGTGAACGGCAAGGCACTGGAGCGACGAACCGCCCTTGCTGTCTCTGCCTGGCCGGCTCCCCTCTCTCCACTGGGATTCTCTGCCTCTGACCCTATTACGGGGGCTGAGTCACTAGCTTACTAGTGCTCGTCCATGCCGTCCCTAGGAGTGGTGCGTCACTTGAGTGGGTGAATCACTGACGTGATTTTCCTGTCCAGTTTTCCGCCCCCTCGGGCTCGTGCGGTGGAGGTGATCTTCGTGGGCTATACTCAGCCTTGTCTCAGGGTAGTAAGTTAGTGGTCTGTTGATATCCTTCTAGTGGTGTGGGGGCTGTGCTTTGGCAAAGTGGGTGGGGTTATATCCTGCCTGGGGGGCTTGGGTCAGTCTGTTATATCTGGTGTAATTCTCCTGTCTTATCTGGTGTCCTGTGTGAATTTAAGTATGCTCCCTCTAATTCTCTCTCCCTCCACTCCCAGAGGACCTGAGCCCTAGGACCATGCCTCAGGACTACCTGGCCTGATGACTCCTGGCTGTCCCCAGTCCAACTAGTCGTGCTGCTGCTTCAGTTTCAACTGTTCTGCTTGCAGCTATGGAACCCTGACCTGTTTACTGGACGTGCTACCTTGTCCTGGACCTGCTGTTTTCAACTCTCTCTACTGCACCTACTGTCTCAACCTCTGAATGCTCGGCTATGTAAAGCCAACTGACATTTACTCCTGAGGTACTAACCTGTTGCACCCTCTACAACCACTGTGATTATTATTTGACCCTGCTGGTCATCTATGAACATTTGAACATCTTGAAGAACAATCTGGTCTTAATGGCCATGTACTCTTATAAATCTCCACCGGGCTAGGTTTCTTCCTAGGTTCCTGCCTTTCTAGGGAGTTTTTCCTAGCCACCGTGCTTGCTATTTGGGGTTTTAGGCTGGGTGTCTGTATAGCACTTTGTGACATTAGCTGACGTAAAAGGGCTTTATAAATACATTTGATTGATTGATGCAGTAGGTGGAACTCTCTAGGTTGTAAGATGTGGTTGCCAATGGAAATGGCCTGGGGAATGACTTGGCAGACCTGGGGGCCAAACACTCGGATGACTGCAAGAGGCAGCGCTCTGAGACTGAGGTTGGTTACACTGGAGAGCTGACATTTTGGACCCGCTTTGAGGCAGCCCTCCTAACTTGGTAGAGTGGAGGGATGGGCTGTTAGCATGTTGATACAAATTTCCTTCTAAATTAGCATAATAGTGCCAGACGTACAAAGGCTTGCCTGGGCACAAACACGTAGAGCTGAGCTAAAGCAAACTGTGAAACTTTTGGCACAGTCTACCAACTGCTCTCGCTCTGTACTGAATATTCATGCCAGAGGGCAGAGGAATATGGCTATTGGCTATGTCACTAAACTGTAAAACAGATTCAATGACATGAAATAAAACTGCTGTGCTGAGCAAAATCTGTGTACAGCTCTAGGGCTCAGTTCTAGGCACTCTCCTATTCTCTCTATACACCAACTCACTTGGCTCTGTCATATCCTCACATGGTCTCTCCTATCATTGCTACGCAGACGACACACAATTAATTTTCTCCTTTCCCCCTTCTGATAACCAGGTGGCAAATCGCATCTCTGCATGTCTGGCAGACATATCAGTGTGGATGTCGGATCACCACCTCAAGTTGAACCTCGGCAAGACGGAGCTGCTCTTCCTCCCGGGTAAGGACTGCCCGCTCTATGATCTAGCCATCACGGTTGACAACTCCATTGTGTCCTCCTCCCAGAATGCAAAGAACCTTGGCGTGACCCTGGACAACACCCTGTCGTTCTCCGCTAACATCAAAGCGGTGACCCGATCCTGCAGGTTCATGCTCTACAACATTCGCAGAGTACGACCCTACCTTACACAGAAAGCGGCACAGGTCCTAATCCAGGCACTTGTTATCTCCCGTCTGGATTACTGCAACTCGCTGTTGGCTGGGCTCCCTGCCTGTGCCATTAAACCCCTACAACTTATCCAGAACGCTGCAGCCCATCTGGTGTTCAACCTTCCCAAGTTCTCTCATGTCACCCCACTGGCTTCCAGTTGAGGCTCGCATCTACTACAAGACCATGGTGCTTGCCTACGGAGCTGTGAGGGGAACGGCACTTCCTTACCTTCAGGCTCTGATCAGACCCTACACCCAAACGAGGGCACTACGTTCATCCACCTCTGGCCTGCTAGCTCCCCTACCTCTACGGAAGCACAGTTCCCGCTCAGCCCAGTCAAAGCTATTCGCTGCTCTGGCACCCCAATGGTGGAACAAGCTCCCCCACGACACCAGGACAGCGGAGTCACTGACCACCTTCCGGAGACACTTGAAACCCTACCTCTTTAAGGAATACCTGGAATAGTATAAAGTAATCCTTCTTCCCCCACCCCCCATAAAAAAATTAAAAAGAAAGAAAGAAAAAGGTGGTTGTCCCACTGGCTATCATAAGTTGAATGCACCAATTTGTAAGTCGCTCTGGATAAGAGCGTCTGCTAAATGATGTAAATGTAAAAATGTAAATGTACAATTGTGTTAGAAGCTAACTTTGAAGAGAGGTTTGTTTTTGGAGAAGAAAAGTAAGAAGGTGAAGAATTAGGCACTAATACTGTAATTTCGCTTCACTAAAAACGTGTTAGGGAAAAGCATTGTGTCACACAATTGTACTATTAAAAACGTGTCAAGGCATGCTCACTTTGTTCCCGAGATATGCAGGCCCTATTAGGGTGTGTCAGAGAAGGCACATTGTAGCTAGGTTTCCATCCAATTGGCAACAGATTTTCATGCGAATATAAAAAGATTTGCATAAAGAAAATATGCGCATTTTCCCACCAGTGGTGTGTTTCCACCAAACGGACTTGTTGCAGACAGAAATCAGTGTGTGATGACGTAGTGTACACAACATGCATTTTTTTGCTTAAGTTTTCATATACCGAATAGAAATCTAAAGTTCAATGTGTTTCCATAGCATTTCCAACTACCGATAGTTTTGTCACAAAAACTGTTGCGTTAAATAGCAAATGTGCCTACTCTGGTTTTGGTACGTTCACTCTAGCCAGCAGCTGGCAGATAGTGTGGGTAGGCTAGTCTACATGATGAGGATTTATATATGGATTTTATTTGTCAAACAGCAGTCAAGCATCGATCATCATGTCACCAGAATAAGACACTTGATATTTATTGGAAAGGAGCATCAAGATCAACATGCACTTTCACCACCCTGTGAAGTTCATCCTAACTTATTTCACCTGTAGCTTAATAAACTGCATGGTTTCCCGAGTCGTAGTGAGAGGTTCACACACCATATCACGCGTGACTCCAAGTTCACATCAATATTTGCGCATAAAAAGGTATTTCCACCTGCATTTCTCCCATAATTAATTTTTAATGACACAAAATGAACCCACCATGTCGAACGATCAAATTATCTGTTGGCATTTATAAAATTATACCAAAACTTTCTATTTCCATTATAGCTGTCGTGATTTTTATTTTTTATTTTTATACGGTATGACTTTACTCGCATAAAGACTGGATGGAAACATTGTTTGTAATGTTACCCCTTTCAGTGCTCATTGTCTTTGTTGCAAAACATTGTAGGGAAGCAAATCTCAGCCAAAACCCACAGCACACTTTCCAATGGTTTCAATATTATTAACTTGCAAAATAGTATACGTCATTGTGTGTGTGTGTGTGTGTGTGTGTGTGTGTGTGTGTGTGTGTGTGTGTGTGTGTTTGTGTGAGAAGAGAGAAAGAAGAGACACTGGAATAAGCCAAATAGGGCGAGGGGTGTAGTAGCTAGCCATCTCCCTCTCTTTAGCCTAGTAGTGGCCCCTCTGTCCTCTGTTGCCTCCCACTCCAGCTCTGTGGCTTGACACACAGTCAATGACATGCCAGGTTCCCCACGGTCAGCATTGATCACTAGATCTACGCTTCTACAGAGGCTGATGAGAGCTGTACTCAAACAACACCCTCAATGCCAGCCAACGCTTCAGTTCACTCCCAGCTTCCACTTTTCTACCTATCAGGAGAAGCTGGCTCAGATGCAATACACAAAGTAACTCATCCCTCTATTATTTGATCAGTTCAACTATGCATCACGTAAGAAATGATTAAATTCAATCAACTTAACATGACATTCAGGTTTGGGGATGTTACAGTAGCGTTACTGCAATAGAATTGTCCCTTTTTGATCAGTCTCAATCCAACTGAATCTTAAGAACTAGTAGGGTACCTACTATTTTATACAATAAATCCAAACTGAATCACAAGTTACCTTTTGGATTCAGAGTCAATAAGAGTAAGCGGGCAAAATCATGAGACTGAGTCTACAAGCAGTGCCAGTGCACTAGAAAGGGTCCCAATCACAATTCACAAAAATCATTAGTAAATAAAATACACAACCCTTCACCTTTAAAAACAGGCAACGGCTGTCTCAGAAAAACAGGAAACTAGTAATTTAGTCAGTAACCAATAAAACGATGTTATCTGCTGGTAAGATGGAAATAATAAAGGGGCCATTCCGTATGTCTGAATCCAGTGGAGAAAGCCATTACTGGGCCACGTAATACATAATAACACCTTTCATTGGAAACATCATTTTTTGTCTTGCAATGATCAAATCCACAACTGTTGCAGAATAAGACATTTGGAATAATTGTTAATAAAAACACTTTGCTCTGTTCCCTATTAGCTACAGTGAGGGAAAAAAGTATTTGATCCCCTGCTGATTTTGTATGTTTGCCCACTGACAAAGACATGATCAGTCTATAATTTTAATGGTATGATTATTTGAACAGTGAGAGACAGAATAACAACAACAAAATCCAGAAAAACGCATGTTAAAAATGTTATAAATTGATTTGCATTTTAATGAGGGAAATAAGTATTTGACCCCTCTGCAAAACATGACTTAGTACTTGGTGGCAAAACCCTTGTTGGCAATCAAAGGTCAGACGTTTCTTGTAGTTGGCCACCAGGTTTACACACATCTCAGGAGGGATTTTGTCCCACTCCTCTTTGCAGATCTTCTCCAAGTCATTAAGGTTTCGAGGCTGACGTTTGGCAACTCGAACATTCAGCTCCCTCCACAGATTTTCTATGGGATTAAAGTCTGGAGACTGGCTAGGCCACTCCAGGACCTTAATGTGCCTCTTCTTGAGCCACTCCTTTGTTGCCTTTGCCGTGTGTTTTGGGTCATTGTCATGCTGGAATACCCATCCGTGACCCATTTTCAATGCCCTGGCTGAGGGAAGGAGGTTCTCACCCAAGATTTGACGGTACATGGCCTCGTACCTTTGATGCGGTGAAGTTGTCCTGTCCCCTTAGCAGAAAAACACCCCCAAAGCATAATGTTTCCATCTCCATGTTTGACGGTGGGGATGGTGTTCTTGGGGTCATAGGCAGCATTCCTCCTCCTCCAAACACGGCGAGTTGAGTTAATGCCAAAGAGCTCCATTTTGGTCTCATCTGACCACAACACTTTCACCCAGTTCTCCTCTTAATCATTCAGTTGTTCATTGGCAAACTTCAGACGGCCCTGTATATGTGCTTTCTTGAGCAGGGGGACCTTGCGGGCGCTGCAGGATTTCAGTCCTTCACGGCGTAGTGTGTTACCAATTGTTTTCTTGGTGACTATGGTCCCAGCTGCCTTGAGATCATTGACAAGATCCTCCCGTGTAGTTCTGGGCTGATTCCTCACCATTCTCATGATCATTGCAACTCCACGAGGTGAGATCTTGCATGGAGCCCCAGGCCGAGGGAGATTGACAGTTATTTTGTGTTTCTTCCATTTGCGAATAATCGCACCAACTGTTGTCACCTTCTCACCAAGCTGCTTGGCGATGGTCTTGTAGCCTATTCCAGCCTTGTGTAGGTCTACAATCTTGTCCCTGACATCCTTTGAGAGCTCTTTGGTCTTGGCCATGGTGGAGAGTTTGGAATCTGATTGATTGATTGCTTCTGTGGACAGGTGTCTTTTATATAGGTAACAAGCTGATTTTAGGAGCACTCCCTTTAAGAGTGTGCTCCTAATCTCAGCTCATTACCTGTATAAAAGACACCTGGGAGCCAGAAATCTTTCTGATTGAGAGGGGGTCAAATACTTATTTCCCTCATTAAAATGCAAATCAACATAACATTTTTGACATGCGTTTTTCTGGATTTTTTTGCTGTTATTCTGCCTCTCACTATTCAAATAAACCTACCATTAAAATTATAGACTGATCATTTCTTTGTCAGTGGGCAAACGTACAAAATCAGCAGGGGATCAAATACTTTTTTCCCTCACTGTGGGTAAGGATTTTTTCTTTCTTTCATGAAAACACAAATTAAATGTTTGATGAGATGTGTGGATTCCTAAGCTTATAATTAGTTATGAGCTGTAAATATTAACGGTGCCATTTGTGTTCGTTAATATCTGTAGCACTGTGACGATGATAATTAGCGCAATTACACGGATTAGGCTACACATGGTCTACTTCGTGTTATCTGTCTCCTTACAACACTGTTGGATGGCAACTCCACGGTGTTAGCACTAAGTTGTGCGAGCAGGGAAAGTCCCCCCTCTGTGTTTCAGGTCTAATTGCTAAATCATTCTCAAGAGGGGACCCCCCCCCAAACCAATTTCCTTTTTCAGTTAGTGCATATTACATTGCATGACATGACACAGTTATAAATAATGTATTGATGGGAAAGAGAAACATGGCAGTAAACATGAGGGTAAAGTACAGCATACCTGCTTAATGTGCATGTACGTCTCTGACATTATCTTCTCAATGCGCTCCAGGTCGTAGGTCATGACCTTCTGGCCCTGCTGCCACGCCCGGTAGGCATCCATCAGAAGAGTTTTGCCTGACTCCACATCATCCAGGAGCTTCCTCTTCCTGCTGGGCCTGCGTAGCGTCCCCTGGGCTAGTCCCTGCTCTGCTACGCAGGCTGCCACTGGGCCCTTAGCTACCGGTCCCTGGAGCTGATGCTGTCTGGAGCTAATGCTCAGGTCCTCCAGAGAAAGCTCTGGTGCCCGGCTGCTCAAAGCCACTTTCTCCCCAGGCTCCAGGACAGTTCTGGGGGGCTCAGTGTCTGGTTGGATGCCCTGAAAGTCTGTGGTCTTGAAGGGACGCCCCCAGTGGCCAGTGTCCAGCTCCATGGGCTCCTCTGGCCCTGCTCTGGCCCCCTCCCCTGCAGCAGCAGGAGCTTCCACCTTCCCAGATGGAGTTCCCTGCTGCTGATCTCCCCTGTCTCCGTCTGTGGCGAGCAGAGCTGGCTGTGCCTGAGGGGTTTCCTGCGGCCCAGAGTCAGGGCCGGGGGCTCGGGCAGTGACCTGGGGCCCCTCAGTGAGCCCAGGCTTCTTAGGCAGTACATGACTGCGGTCCTCTGCACTAGGCCTGTTGGATGTGTCCGTGGTCGTCATCTCACCCATGGAAGGCTGCACCGACACCTGAGAGAGAACAGAGCCTGTCACAACACAAGCAAGAGCATGCCAAAACTATAAACCCTATAAACTACAGAGCTGCTTCAGCTCCTTTCCAAATGTGTTGAGTGCTTTGTTTCGGTACCCCTGTGAGTTTGTTCAGATTGTCCTCCAGGACTTTTACAGCTAGGAAAAATGCTCTCTGGGCCAAAACCTGACGATCCACATCCCGCAAATACTTCCTTTAAGACATGAGAGGGAGAGAGAGGAAAAAGGCAAGAAACCTCAGTTGAACAAATTCACACAAAAACACAAGAACAACATGTTGCCATGAAAAACAGAGAGAAACATGGTTGAGTCATGAGAGAAAGAGATCCTTACTTTCCCTGGTCAGGGGTTCTCTGGAGCATGAAAGAGACTTTGAGTAGTGTGTCGTGATCCTTCAGCTGAGACAGCACCTCCAGCAAGAGAACGATGGATCTGTTCATATGAGATGCAAAACTTCCGGGCCGATCTATCTCATCCACTGGAATACGCCAGATGCCCTGAAGCAGGAAGAGAAGAGGAGGTGAAGAGGCAACAGTTCACTAACACTGCACCCACAGCTAAATCAACTAAATACCATTTTCCTACTGTTTGGTATTAGCATGTCATGGAGAAAGGCTAATGTACTGTATGATCTCGTCTGTCAGGCTAACTAGAGTTCTATTTCAAAACATGCCTTTTCCACTAACACACTCACAAGGCAAATAGATTCCACTGGTGGGTTTTTAGTTTTCAATTAAAAACTGCCAACACTTAAATGAAAATTCTGAGTAGGATATATCTGAAATGTTTTGTTCAAACAAATGTGATGGTAAATACATTATGATTTATTTTATACAGACTGATCGTGAGGGAGGGTAATTGAAAAGGAGAGCGGGCATGAGAGTGATGATGTAATGGGACAGTAGTGATATTATATTCATACTTTGACTGCAAATATAAAAAAAAAATATATATAAAAATAATAATAATAATAATATATATATATATATATATACACACACACACACACACAGTGAGGGAAAAAAGTATTTAATCCCCTGCTGATTTTGTACATTTGCCCACTGACAAAGAAATGATCAGTCTATAATTTTAATGGTAGGTTTATTTGAACAGTGAGAGACAGAATAACAACAAAAAAATCCAGAAAAATGCATGTCAAAAATGTTATAAATTGATTTGCGTTTTAATGAGGGAAATAAGTATTTGACCCCTCTCAATCAGAATGATTTCTGGCTCCCAGGTGTCTTTTATACAGGTAACGAGCTGAGATTAGGAGCACACTCTTAAAGGGAGTGCTCCTAATCTCAGCTTGTTACCTGTATAAAAAGACACCTGTCCAAAGAAGCAATCAATCAATCAGATTCCAAACTTTCCACCATGGCCAAGAACAAAGAGCTCTCCAAGGATGTCAAGGACAAGATTGTAGACCTACACAAGGCTGGAATGGGCTACAAGACCATCGCCAAGCAGCTTGGTGAGAAGGTGACAACAGTTGGTGCGATTATTCGCAAATGGAAGAAACACAAAATACCTGTCAATCTCCCTCGGCCTGGGGCTCCATGCAAGATCTCACATTGTGGAGTTGCAATGATCATGAGAACAGTGAGGAATCAGCCCAGAACTACAGGGGAGGATCTTGTCAATGATCTCAAGGCAGCTGGGACCATAGTCACCAAGAAAACAATTGGTAACACACTACGCCGTGAAGCAGGTATATCTCACTGGTCATCCCCAAAGCCAACACCTCCTTTGGCCGCCATTCCTTCCAGTTCTCTGCTGCCAATGACTGGAACGATTTGCAAAAATCTCTGAAGCTGGAGACTCTTATCTCCCTCACTAACTTTAAGCATCAGTTGTCAGAGCACCTTACCGATCACTGCACCTGTACACAGCCCATCTGAAATTAGCCCACCCAACTACCTCATCCCCATATTGTTATTCATTTTGCTCATTTGCACCCCAGTATCTCTATTTGCACATCATCATCTCTATTTGCACATCATCTCTTGCACATCTATCATTCCAGTGTGACAGCAAATGTACACTGTTATACAAGCTGTACACTCACTACTCTACATTGTAGCAAAGTGTCATTTCTTCAGTGTTGTCACATGAAAAGATATACTCAAATATTTACAAAAATGTGAGGGGTGTACTCACTTCTGTGAGATACTGTATATATATATATTATGCATTCGAAAATAATTCAGACCCCTTGACTTTTTCCACATTTTGTTATGTTACAGCCTTATTCTAAAATTGATTAAACACATTTTCCTTATCAATCTACACACCATACCCCATAATGACAAAGGGAAAACAGTTTTTTTTTAATTTTTGCAAATGTATTACAACTAAAAAACTGAAATACCTTATTTGTATAAAGTATTCAGACCCTTTGTTGCCATGAGACTCGAAATTGAGCTCAGGTGCATCCTGTTTCCATTGATCATCCTTGAGATGTTTCTATAACTTCATTGGAGTCCACCTGTGGTAAATTCAATTGATTGGACATGATTTGGAAAGGCACACACCTGTCTATATAAGGTTCCACAGTTGACAGTGTATGTCAGAGAAAAAACCAAGCCATGAGGTCGAAGGAATTGTCCGTAGAGCTCCGAGACAGGATTGTGTCGAGGCACAGATCTGGGGAAGGGTACCAAAACATTTCTGCAGCATTGAAGGTCCCCAAGAACACAGTGGCCTCCATCCTTTTTAAATGGAAGAAGTTTGAAACCACCAAGACTCTTCCTAGAGTTGGCCGCCAGTAAAAGGCACATGACAGCCCGCTTGGAGTTTGCTAAAAGGCACCTGAAGGACTCTCAGACTATGAGAAACAAGATTCTCTGGTCTGATGAAACCAAAATTGAACTCTTTGGCCTGAATGCCAAGAGTCACATCTGGAGGAAACCAGGCACCGCTCATCACCTGGCCAATACCATCCCTACGGTGAAGTATGGTGGTGGCAGCATCTGTGGGGAGGTTTTTCAGCGGCAGGGACTGGGAAACTAGTCAGGATCGAGGGAAAGATGAACAGAGCAAAGTACAGAGAAATCCTTGATGAAAACCTGCTCCAGAGTGCTCAGGACCTCAGACTGGGGTGAAGGTTCACCTTCCAACAGTACATTTTTTTTAACATTTTAGTCATTTAGCAGACGCTCTTATCCAGAGCGCCTTACAGTTAAGTGAGTGCATACATTCTTTTTTAATTTTTAATACTATTTTTCATACCCCCGTGGGAATCGAGCCCACAACCCTGGCGTTGCAAACGCCATGCTCTACCAACTGAGCTACATCCCTGCTGGCCATTCCCTCCCCTACCCTAGACGACGCTGGGCCAATTGTGCGCCGCCCCATGGGTCTCCCGGTCACGGCCGGCTACGACAGAGCCTGGATTCGAACCAGGATCTCTAGTGGCACAGCTAGCACTGCGATGCAGTGCCTTAGACCACTGTGCCACTTTAGAGGTTGACAACGACCCTAAGCACACAGTCAAGACAAAGCTGGAGTGGCTTCGGGACAAGTCTCTGAATGTCCTTGAGTGGCCCAGCCAGAGCATGGACTTGAACCCGATCGAACATCTCTGGAGAGACCTGAAAATAGCTGTGCAGCGACGCTCCCCATCCAACCTGACAGAGCTTGAGAGGATCTGCAGAGAAGAATTGGAGAAACTCCCCAAATACAGGTGTGCCAAGCTTGTAGCGTCAAACCCAAGAAGACTTGAGGCTGTAATCGCTGCCAAAGGTGCTTCAACAAAGTACTGAGTAATGGGTCTGAATACTTATGTAAATGTTGTATCAGTTTTGATGATTGATGAGGGGGGAAAAAATTATTTACTCCATTTTAGAATAAGGCTGTAACGTAACAAAATGTGGAAAAAGTGAAGGGGTCTGAATACTTTTCCGAATGCACTGTAAGAAATGTCCCAAATGAAAAATAATCTAAATTCCATTGTGAAATTAAGCAAATTAGCTTTCATTTTGTTAAACACAATCAGACTTTGTGCAACTGGTTCTATCATGAAATGCATAGTGAGCAATATGTTTGGAACATCACATCTTTAACAGCATACCCTAACATTCATAAAGAATTATGAAGCAAACATTCTGGCCAGCTGGCAGAGGACCATGTTTAAACATTCCTTAGGACTATAGGTAATGGAATGCAAAAACCTGTATAAACTCTGGGTTGAGATAATATTACAGAGATTCAACAGGTCCTTTCATGTATTCATTGGACACAGGTGCTGGAGGACAGGCTAAATGGGGTATTTTGGAGTGTTTCTTTGTGTGTGAGTATGTAGCATGTGCACAGCTACATGCTACTGCAGGCTCCTCCAGGCACTGGGCTGCTAATAGGGCTGACATCAGGAAACAATTAACAGGGAGAAATGGACAAACATGCAGGAAAGAAAGAAAGAAAGAAAGGAGGTGACGAGAAGGCAAGAGGAATGTATTTGAGCTAAAACTGTGGCATTGGACGATGGGAGCCCTAATGAGAGAATGGAAAGAGTTGCTGTAGGGAGAACTACAGTGCGTGAAGAGTCAACATTGTGAAGGGGCTTTATAGTGACTCCAGACAGATCAGATCCCTCCAGGCAGGCAGGCAGGGAGGCAGCCTCATTAGCACTGTGTTCTGTCTGGGTTTAGGTGGGTTCAGGGAACCACAGAGAGCAGCAGCACATCAAACACACATTGACTTGTTAAAGACATGTTCCGGAACTTTGGGCTGGATGTGTCAATGTATAGTTCATACATGCATAACCTAGGAGCAGAATTACTGTCTTAGTCACAATTAGCCACGAAATCCCTAGTTTGAAAGCCACTGTTTTTCTGGAAGCTGTGCTGCACCACTTTCCCTACATTTTCCCCCACGTGGGTCAGCCCCCTAGCAATTCGAGTTCAACCAATGAGCTTTAGCCCTTCACCATTTGAGTGACAGCTAACAAGATGCACATCATGCACACAGCAGAGCGAGAGAGAGCAATGACGTGGTGCACATATCTGCACATATGTGACGTAGAACGCAATTTTCAGGGACCACTTCTGGCTCGTGAGCACTACTTTCAGAACTACTGGCTAAAAAGTATACAAAAGTACTGGATAATCTCTTGAATGTCAATATCTCTGAAGGACAGGTAAGTCTTCAGATCACTATGAGTATCACAGGCAACATCAATCAAATCTGAATACAGATATGTTATTATGTGACAGCATATGTTATGTTGTTACAGTACATGATGACCAAACAACCCAGTGCACACATGTCATCCCAGCAGGTGTGTATGGACAGGCAAGGTTCTATGCTCCACAGCAGAGCAGACCATGTGAGCTGAGCACAGACGGTTTCTAGTTGTATTAGTCGTATGTACAGGATTCACATGGTATACGCAGTCCAAGGAAATGCTGACTTGCAGGTTCCTTCTCGACAATGTAACAATAAGAAATAATTAAATAAGAATAAAAACAAAGTAAATGGCAGTAGAATAGAATACCAT